CAAAAGATGTGCTCCTGAGCACGTCTGCCAACAGTGGTGAGACGTCTCCACTGTCGACTATCCCGAGCGGTGGCTGTCACCCTGCAGGGATGAGCAGCACCACCAGGGCAGTATTTTCTCAGGAGATATTGGGCCCATAGGGACTTGCCCTCCCTAAGGCGCCACCACATCCTGTAGGAAAACGCAGTAACCATATCAGAGAAACGCCGAACCCCGAGCCCACCCTCAGAGTGGGGACGACAGATGGAGTCCCACTTTACCCAGTGGGTCTACCGCCGACCTCGCGGGCCCTCGCCATAGCTCCAAAACTAGCGAGCTAAGATCTGATCTAACTCATGAATCGTAGACTGATGGGGGTCAAGCACTGCGAGAAGGTGAATAGGAAGGGCACAGAGAGTGCTCTTGATCAGAGCAAGTCGGCCGCCGAAGGATAGGTGTCTATGGGACCAGCCAGAAATCCGGTCAATCATCCTCTGACGGACGTCAATAAAAAGCTCATGAGAAAGATGGCCTTTGTACAAGGGGGCCCCAAGGTAAGGGATGGGTAAGTCCCCACGAGCAAATCCAGTGCGCTCGTGGATCTGGTGGGCCCAATGGTCTGCAACGTGGTGGTCCATGATAAAGGTACTCTTACTAACACTGACTAGCTGACCAGATGTCTCACTGTAGTGGTCCAAAAGACTCATGAGAGCAACTAGCCCATTATCATTCGCACGAGTGAAAATGATAATGTCATCCGCGTATGAAAGGTGGGAAATAGAAGGCCCACAGCCACGCGTGCTGTAGGTCATCCTCGGAAAATTGCGAATGAAGCCGTCAAGGCAGCGAGAGAGATAGTAAGCCACTAGAACAAAAAGGGAAGGGGATAAGGGATCCCCTTGACGAAGGCCGCGGGTAGAAGAGAAAAAGGTCGTGGGGCTACCATAAATCAAAACAGAGAATGTGCAGTGTTCCACACACGCCTCCACAAAGCTAATCCAACGGTTAGGGAATCCCATCCGAGACAGAACCTCTCTGAGAAACGACCACTCGACCCTATCATATGATTTGGCCATGTCTAGCTTCAGCACGAGGTTCGGGGTTGTGTTCGATTCGCATGAGAGATGTCGTGTATCATCTCCTGAGCCAGTAGGATGTTATCACTAATGACTCGGTCCTTGATGAATCCACTCTGGTTCGGAGAGACAAGGTGAGGGAGGAGAGGGGCGAGGCGACTGTTGAGGATTCTAGAAATGATCTTGTTAGTCACGTTGCATAAGCTGATAGGTCTATAGTCAGACCAAGTGCTAGGTCCCGATCTCTTCGGGATAAAAATGATGGAGGTTGCCGTGAAGGACTCCGGCATCTGGTGGCCAGAGAAAAAATCCCTCACTGCTTCCTCTACGTCAGTACCCACGATCTCCCAGCAAGACTGGAAGAAAAGGGACGAAAAACCATCCGGTCCGGAGACGCTGTTGGGATCTATCCCAAACACAGCCTCCCTGACTTCCTCCTTACTCGGGAGGTCACAGAGGTCAACAAGGTCGACCGAATGCGGGATGGTCGGAAAGAGGGCCGGGTCGGGGTCCGTAAGCAAATCCCGCTCAAAGGAGAAGAGAGAGTGGAAGTAAGCCCTAGCCGACTCTCGTATCTGGGACTCCTGGGTCACGGATGACCCGTTATCCTCGACACTATGGATATACGACTTGAATCGCTTCTGTCTCTAGAATCCCTGGAAGAACTTGGTATTATGTTCCCCCTCAGCCACCCAGCGCACAGCAGCCTTCTGTTTCCAGAAATCTTCCTCCATGAGGAGGCGCAACTGGTACTCAGCATGGCAGCGGCGCCTCTCGGACCTATTCTCTGGCGAAGAGTCCAAATCATAGGTCTGTTCCGCCTCCGCATACGCAGTCTGATCTGCAGTAAGGCGCTGAGAAATATCGCCAAAAATCGTCCAGTTCCACTGCTTCAAAACACAGCGGAGTCTCTTGAGCTTCTCCTCCAGGTTGCGCATCCCATAGAGGTGCGTAGCCTGCTGCCATGAGGCTCTAACGGTATCGTGGTAAGAGTGGTGGCGGACCCACATGTTCTGGAAATGGAAGGACGCTCGCCGAGGGGAAATAGAGAATCGACAACGAATCAGAAGGGGGGCATGGTCGGATCCAATTCGAGGAAGGTGCGTTACAACCATAGTCACAAACACCCTCATCCACGCCTCTGAGCAGAGAGCGCGGTCGAGCCTCTCCTTGACTCCGGCCCTCTCCCACGTAAAGGGAGCCTATTTGTATCCAGCGTCAATGAGCTCACAATCCGATACGGCATGCGAAAAATCTAAGATCTCCGCAGACCGGTCCGAAATACCACCAATGCGTTCATCGGGATGCAAGAATATATTGAAATCACCGCTAATCATCCACGGTAATCCCTCCATACTCTCAGCAATCTCACGCATGGTGTCCCAGAGGTCATATCGACCAGCCCTCGCACAGCTGGCGTAAACCAAAGTGTGGAAGATCAGCTCCGGAAGATGGGCGGCAGAGAGCTTCACGTGCAAGACTTGATCAGTATCTCGAAGGACCCGACAAGTAAAGTCACGTGAGTGGAAGAACCAAATCTTGTTAGAGGTGTTTCCCATCCCGGCGTGAAAACCAAGGCGCCGCGAATATACGTCATCATAGACT